CCAAATTGGGGGGGGGGGGGGCTGTGAATTTGCATTTTAAACAACCTCTCCAGGTAATTTCAATCAGGAGCCACGCTGATTAGGAACAACTATTCCAGACTGGTGTTTTCCAACTTTCTGGATCATGCACCCTTTTCAGAAAGAATTTTTTGAGCATGCACTTTCAATATATGTTGGTAGTTTATAAATAAATTCCTGATATGTACTAATGTCCTAATATTTACGTTTTTAAATAGAAAAAATGGTGAGAATTTTGCATTCATATTCTTAGGTGAAAATGGTTTCCAGTTTTTCATTATGTATGTTCTAGTTGTTGAGTTTGGGTATTGACATTACACAGGATTCTTTTCTTCTCCCTCAATAGATTCTAGACTCTAGGAAGTATAAATAGTATTGAGGTTGTCTGTTCCTTGAAGGTTGATAGAATTAATGCAAGACCATGTGAGTGTGCTTTTTTGTCAAATTTATCAACATTTTTTCCAATGGTTAACAGGTGGGTTTAGATACCCCCATTCTTTGGCAATCGGTTTTGGTAATTTTTGTTTTCCTAGAAAACCATTCTAAGTTTTCAAATTTCTTTTCATAGAGTAGAGCAAATTATTCTCCTACTCTTTTCATTTACTCTGTAACTGTGGTTATTTCTCCATTTCTAATTTTGTGTGTTTAGGGTTTTAATTAGATTGGCAAGTGGTTTATCTTTTTTATTGTTTTATGTTTTATTTTGAAGAAGTAGCTTTTGGCTTTAATTATTAATTCTATCATTTATTTCCAAGTATGTTAATTTCTGCCATCAGTTCTCTTTCTGCTTTGTTTGGGTTGATTTTTGTGGCTCTTTTCTTGACTTCTTTTGCTCAATGCTTAATTCAGTGATTTTAATTTATTCGTATTTATTAATGTAAGCATCAAAGGCTTCAGATTTTCCTTTGACTACTGCTTTAATTGGTCATATTCTCTAGTTTCTGATATTTTTCTTGTTGTTATTTTCTAGGTATTCTACAATTTCAGATTAGAGCTCTTCTTTGACTAGAAGGGAGAATATTTTTTTCCTTTTATTTTCTATGTACTAGAAATACATAGAAAATTTTCTCATTTTTGTTACTAATTTCTAGTGTTGTTGTGTTATGAGTAGGTGCTGTAGTTTGTACTTATTTCACCTTTTGGCTTAATATGTAGTCAATTTTAAAAAGGTTCAATGGACCCTTGAGAATGGAGAAGTTGAAATGTTCCCATTATCTTTGTTTTGACTGTCATGTCTGTCATCAGCTGAAACAGTCTCATAGTTTATTTCTCCTTTTTTCTGCCTTTGCATTTCCTATGGATTTTGCTTTCTGAATTGTGATGCTATGTTATTTGATACATAAAGATTCAGAGTAGTTAGATCTTAATCATGCATTCTAACCACTAATTTATAGCACCCTTCTTTGTCTTATTTGTTGATTTTTGCCTTTAATTCAACTTTTTTCTGCTATGAATATCATGGCTGTTGTTTTTTTTCATTTTTGGCATGAATTCATTTATTTTTTTATTGAATTATAGTAGATACACAATGTTACATTGGCTTCAGGTGTACAACATGGTGATTTGAGAAGTCGATACATTATGCTATGCTCACAAAGGTAACTGGAAGCCTGTATCTCCCACTTCCCTTTACCAGTTTTGCCCATGAAGCTCACCCCCACCCTCACCTGCACCCTTCTGGCAACCATCAGGTTGTTTTCTATATTTATGGGTCCATTCCTGCTTTTTGTTTGTTTGCTTTGTTTTTTAGATTCCACATATGAAGAAAATCATATGATATTTATCTTTCTCTATATGATTTAGTTTACTTAGTGTAATACCCTCTAGGTCCATCTTGTTGCAAATGGCAAGATCTCATCCTTTTTTATGGCTGTGTATAATTCCTCTGTGTGTGTGTGTGTGTGTGTGTGTGTGTATACACATACCATCTTTTTTATCCATTCATCTTCTTTATCCATTTATCTGTTTTCTTTATCCATTCATCTATTGATGACACTTGGCTTGCTTCTATATCTTGGCTATTGTAAATAATGCTGCAGTGAATGTATAGAGGTATGTATATCTTTTCAAACTAGTGTTTTCATTTTCTTTGGCCAAATACCCAGTAGTGGAATTACTGAATAATATGGTATTTCTGTTCATTAATTTGTTTGTTAAGCAAATATTTATTAAATACCCACTGTGTACCAGGCACTAGGTACTAGATAAATTAGACACACAAGATCTCTGCTCTCATGGAGCTTACATTTTAGTTAGTAGAGCACAAAATAAACAAGTAAAATTAGATATGTGATATAATATTAGGTGGGGATGTATGTACTGAGAAAGAACAAAATAGAAAAAGGATAATTAAGGATAAGTCATCTCTATTTTAGATAAGGTGGTCAGGAAAGGCCTCTGCTTATAGAATTTGTCATCCTTTTACTTTACAGTAACCATCATGTTTGTTTGTTTCCTGATGGAGGAAATGCCAGGTGGAACAGTTTGCACACAAGGAGTTGTTATAATCCTAAGGAACTATAGGTGGCCAAACGCCCAAATGAGATTATGGATGTGAATTTCTGATCCATGTGAGTGATGAGCTAGCCAGGATGGGGACTGGAGATGAGCTAAGTGAAAGAGATTTTGTTCTTCATTGTATCTGAGCTTGGCTATCATTATGTATATTATTATTTCTTAAAGAAATATTCTCGGTTTTCAACATGACTATTGAATGGGTATTCTGTCTGATGATTTAATTAAACTGCTGGAATTTCCTGTCACTAAGCAGTACTTACTTAGCATGATGCTGATTGCTCACAGGCTACAGCAGGAAGCCCAGATCTTCTGGTATAGAGGGCTTAACTCTTTATACTCTGAGCCTAAAGAGATGTCCTTTGACCCTGGTCATTCTTTATTAGACAGAAGTTTGCCTTTTTATGCATATTTTTGTATATATTTAAATAAACCTGTACTTCTTTCTTTAAATATTTTTTCTATTGCTTATAAGAATCTCATTTTGCCTCACAAGTGATAGTCTTTTTAATTTTCTCATAGTGTTTTTTTCTTATAAACATATACTATATATACATGTATACACATATATCTATTAAAATACACACACACACACACACACACACACCCTTAACTCGTGAAGCTGCAATTTATTTTGGTATATAATAGAAGGTACAGCTCTAAATGTCACTGCTCTGCAGTTATCTCAAAACATTTTTTAATATCATTTTTTATCTCCTTGTTATAGAAGGTGAATTATAGATGATGTTTTTATAGATAGCTTGATATGTTTCTGGAGTTTTCATTCTGTTATATTAATCAGTAACACACTGTTTTAATTATAATTGCTTTATAACATGCTTAATCCCTTATCCTCAATTCTTCTGTAGCAAAATACTTTTTAATATTATATCTTACTTTATTTTGCAGGTTAATAAAAAATGCTGTTGTTAAAAATTCCTGTTGAGGAACCCATGGGGGAGGGGAAGGGAAAAAAAAAAAAGAGGTTAGAGTGGGAGAGAGCCAAAGCATAAGAGACTGTTGAGAACTGAGAACAAACTAAGGGTTGATGGGGGGTGGGAGGGAGGAGAGGGTGGGTGATGGGTATTGAGGAGGGCACCTTTTGGGATGAGCACTGGGTGTTGTATGGAAACCAATTTGACAATAAATTTCATATAAAAAAAAAATTCCTGTTGAGAATTCTGAGGAGAATTGCATTAGGAGGATCTATTTTAAACCCCAAGTAGCAAGCATTTGTAAATTTCCTGCTTGATATTTTTTGGTGCTAATATAAAAGCTTGGACAGAAAACATGTCATATTCATGATATAGCTTGCATCTGGAGAGGCAGCAGGGGAATAGAAGTGGGGAGTGAAACAAAGGCTATTAGCATCTCTTTAAAAAATCATAAAGTATAGATGGCATGGTATTAAAATGTGCTAATCCGGGGTGCCTGGGTGGCTCAGCCTGGACTGGGAGCGTCCAACTTCGGCTCAGGTCATGATCTCATGGTTTGTGGGTTCAAGCCTCGCATCAGGCTCTGTGCTGACCTCTTGCTCAAAGCCTGGAGCCTGCTTCAGATTCTGTGTCTCCTTCTCTCTCTGCCCCTCCCCTGCTCACGCTTTGTCTCACTCTGTTTCTTAAAAATAAATAAATGTAGGGGTGCCTGGGTGGCGCAGTCAGTTAAGCGTCCGACTTCAGCCAGGTCACGATCTCGCGGTCCGTGAGTTTGAGCCCCGCGTCAGGCTCTGGGCTGATGGCTCAGAGCCTGGAGCCTGTTTCCGATTCTGTGTCTCCCTCTCTCTCTGCCCCTCCCCCATTCATGCTCTGTCTCTCTCTGTCCCAAAAATAAATAAACGTTGAAAAAAAAATTAAAAAAAAAATAAAAATAAAAAAAATAAATAAATGTAAAAAAAAATTTTAATAAAATGTGCTAATCCTGGGCAGTAGGTGGGAACATGAATATTTATTATAGCAACCTCTGTATGTTTCTAAATATTTAAAATTTTTGTGACTAAAAACAAAGCAAACAAAAACAATATAACAGGATAACCAGATTTGTAAGCCCCAGTACACAGCACATTCAATCTGAGTGCTACAGAATGGGTGTAGTGCATGTATCCAAACTTTGGAGTTAGACTGTCCAGGTTCAAATCCCAGCTCTACCACTTACTAGCTTTACAACCCTGAGCAAGTTACTTAAACTGCCCATGCCTCAGTTTTCCTGGCTGTAAAATTAGGATGATACTAATAGCTACCTCCTAGGGTTATTGTGAGTATTAACTAAGTAAACACTGGGAAAGCACTTAAAACAGTACCTGGCATTTAGTACACACTCAATAAGTGTTAGCTATCAATATTATGTGTTAGTATTACTATTCTTATTATTGCATCTACTATGAATATTTGCATCTGTTTTTGGCCATTGTAAATTTTACATAAATGATTTTATCCAAAATAGGGGGCCACCTGCAACTTGCTTGTTTTACACAATCCTCATCTTGCTGTTTTGCAGAGAAATGGCTCATTCCAAGGCTAGCTTTTCGTGGGCAACTCCGTTCAATCCTTGCCTTGAGAACCCAGCACTGGGCTTGTCAAGCTACCGAGCAGTCTCTTCTCTTGACCTCCTTGAAGACTTCAAGCACTCTTCAAAAAAAACAGAGGAAACTTCTGTTTATGAGGAGGGGAGCTCCATGGCCTCCATGCCCCACCCACTGCGCAACCGTGCCTTCTCTGAAAGCCATATAAGCTTGGAGCCCCAGAGCTCCCTGGCCTGGCGGCAGCATAGGAGAGAGCTCTTTACCAAGGTTGAGACCCAGCCGGATCCTCTGGGAGCCAGGAAGAAGGCCTTTCCTCCTCCTCGCCCTCCTCCTCCCAACTGGGAGAAATACAGGCTTTTCCGTGCAGCCCAGCAGCAGCAGAAGCAGCAGCAGCAACAGCAGCAGAAGGAGGAGGAGGAAGAGGAGGAAGAAGAGGAGGAAGAGGAGGAAGGGGCAGAGGAGGAAGAGGAGGGGGAGGAGGAGGAGGAGCTGCCACCCCAGTATTTCAGTTCAGAAACCACTGGTACCAGTGCCCTCAATCCTGAAGAGGTCCTGGAGCAGCCACAACCCCCGGGCTTTGGCCACCTGGAGGATTCAAGGCAGGGCTCAGAAAGCCTCTCAGCAGAGCAAGAGTCCTTTGGTCTCCATTCCAGCAATTTCCTGACTCCAATAAGGGGACACTTGGGCTCTCAACCTGAGAAGGCTCAGCCCCCTTGCTATTATGGTATTGGTGGCCTTTGGAGAACATCAGAGAAGGAGACCACTGATTCCCCCAAGTAAGTGCTTATGAAAGAAAGTTCCCCAAAGAGGCTGCACCATGAGTTTGCAATATCACCTCCCGGCTGTGTGACCTTTGATCAATGAATTAAACTGTTCCCAGCTTCATTTTTCTCACCAGGAAAATGGGCATGGTTATACCTATTCTACACAGTTGTAAATATGAAGATAATGTGTATAAAGCCAAGAGCCCCACGTGTAGCTCATAGTAGGTGCTCAGTAAATAGTAGCTGCTGGTGTTCTTAAATATCACTATCAAAATACACTATTATTCCTCAGTTTGTCTTTAAGGTATGCATCAGTTTCAGGCTTGTGAGCCAGAAGACATTACTTTTTTTTTTTTTTAGTTTATTTATTTTTGAGAGAGAAAGCAAGGGAGGGGCAGAGAGAGAAGGAGAGAGAGGATCCCAAGCAACCTCTGCACTGTCAGCACAGAGCTCAATGTGGGGTTCGAACTCACAAACCGAGAGATCATTACCTGAACCGAAATCAAAAGTCAGATGTTCAACCAACTGAGCCACCCAGGTGCCCCTGAGCCAGAAGGCATAAACCCTTGTTCCCTTATGGCATTTCCCAAAAGCCTGGCTCAGGCCCTTTTCTGCCTTTTCTTTTGCTTGCTCTCTAGAATAAGGGGCCAGCTCACAACCTGACCTACCTCCATTCTAGGCCCTGCCTGGGCTTCTAAGCTCTTCCCTGACCCCCAGCAGCAAAGGTATACCTGGAGTTGGGCCCTTTATGCCCTGCTTATTCCTTATAATAGGTAAGGGCACTCTTTTCCTCTTCCACATTCTCTATTCCCCCCACCCTTGTCCCCCCGCCTCTTTGCAGTTGCCTCAGTGGGCAATAGGTGGTAGTTGATTGGGTGAGCTGCCTGGGCAGGGAGACCAAAGCAGGAGTGTAGTCTAGCCCCAGGACTGCTGGTGTTGGCTTCCCTGTGCCAGTGCTCATCTGCATGCCCTGTAGCACCTGGTTGTCCGCTTGGTTCGGAAGCAGAGGAGCTTGGGCCTCAGTTCTGCCAGTCATCCTTCTGAGAGCTCAGGCAATGCTCTGATGGGGGTGGGGGGTGAGGGGGCCTGGTATCTATCCCAGAAGTGCTTTCTTTAAATCCCTTTATAGAAGGAACTTGCCTGAGATTTGTTGGTATTAGAAGTACCTTGTTGGGGGGCGCCTGGGTGGCTCAGTCGGTTGAGCGTCCGACTTCGGCTCAGGTCATGACCTCACGGTTCGTGAGTTAGAGCCCTGCATTGGGCTCTGTGCTGGCAGCTCAGAGCCTGGAGCCTGCTTCAAATTCTATGTCTCTCTCTCTCTCTGCTCCTCCCTGGCTCAGGCTCTGTCTCTCTCTCCTTCAAAAATAAATAAAAACGTTAAAAAAAAAAGAAGTACCTTGTTGGGGCACCTGGGTGGCTCAGTCAGTTGAGCATCTGACTTCAGCTCGGGTCATGATCTTGAGGTTCGTGAGTTCAAGCCCTACATCGGGCTCTGTGCTGTCAGTGCAGAGTGCACTTCAGATCCTCTGTCCCCCTCTCTCTCTGCACCTCCCCCACTTGTACACTCTCTCAAACATAAATAAAGCATTTAGAAGAACCTTGTTATCATGTCTTTTATTGACAAACAAATCCTTTACTGAGATCTGGGCTATCTGGAACTAAGTGAGAAGTTTTCTGGCATAAGGTGCCACCAGTAAGGCACTACAGGGCCTGGCTCCTAGATACTGTGAGAATCTATCAGATCCCTAGCACCTGCTTCTCAAGCTATCCATCTAGCCAGAAGTGTTCTTACTGTAATTAGAAAACATTTTGTGGAAAGTGACTATGATTGTTACTGGTCACAGCAGGGAGAAGGGAAGGCGACCTAGCACACAGTAGGCACTTAACATTTCAGAAGAAAGAACAAAAAAATGAAGGGTCAAACATGTATTAAGCATTTGCTGTGTGCCAGACACTGGTAGTCATTTTACATGACTGCGGGCCATTAATTACTCCCATTTGACAGATGAGGAAACTAAAGCTAAGAAAGACAAGAGACTAACTCAGAATTGCACAGCAAAGATTCCAAAGTTAGATCTTTGTGACTCTAAAACCTATGCTTAATTTGCCATTCTAGGCAGCCTTTCTCAGAGAGATCTTGTTCTTGCAATAGGCCGGGCCTTTACCAGGCCCTCTTGTTCCCTGTAGGGCAGTGTGTACAAGAGGTAGTAGTTCCAGGCTCCAGACTTGCCCCTTTCAGCCTCCTAGTCCTTCCTCCATGTGCCTCCTTCATGTACCTTGGCCCCTTGGCCAGAGAGAAAGAAACTGCTATTACTAGAGATCTTGTAACTTGTTCCAGAGATTTATTTCTTTTGGTGACTTTGGGATGCGAGGAGAAACATTTGTTTGCACACAGCTTTAGCTTGTGGCTGCAAAAAATCAATTATAGATGCTTCTTTGAATGATTTAGATTTAAGGAACAGCATTATTCCCAACATAGCTAATATTTTTGGCCTGCTTACTATGTGCCAAGCATTCTTCTAAAGTAAGCACTTTTATGTGTTGATTGATTTAATCTTCACAACCAACTTATGAAATAGATATCATTGGTGTGCTACATCTTTTAGAATGAGGAATTACAGGTGGCTAAAGGAACCTGCAGAAGATCACAGGTAGCCAGAACCCAGGCCGTCTGGTTCACTGTGCCCATTGCATCCTCATAGGATCTCTGGGCTCCTTGAGATCTTATTCCAGATTCTTGCAGAACATAGAGTTCTAACCAGAAGGAAGTGGCTTTAAGATTTTGTAAGGGAGGGGCACCTGGGTGGCTCAGTCAAGTGTCGGACTTCGGCTCAGGTCATGATCCCGAGGTCCATGAGTTCCAGCCCCACGTTGGGCTCTGTGCTGACAGCTCGAGCCTGGAGCCTGCTTCAGATTCTATGTCTCCCTCTGTCTCCACCCCTCCCCCGTTTGTGCTCTCTCCTCTCTCTCTCTCTCTCTCAAAATAATAAACATTCTAAAAATTTTTAAAAAGATTTTGGGGTGCCTGGGTGGCTCAGTCAGTTAAGCGTCCGACTTTGGCTCAGGTCATGACGTCGCGGTCGAGGAGTTCAAGCCCCGTGTGGGGGTCTATGCTGACAGCTCAGAGCTGTAGCCTGCTTTGGATTCTGTGTCTCCCTGTCTAGGCCCCTCCCCTGCTTGTGTGCTCTCTCTCTCTTTCTCTCTCAAGAATAAATAAACATTAAATTTTGTTTTAAAAAAAGGCTTTGTAAAGGGAGAAGTGTTAGAACAAGTAGATACATATTTTGAATCTAAAATGCAAAAAAACCCAAAGACATCCTAATTTCAGCCAAGTCAGACCAGAGTGTCTCTGTAACCCACCTACTATTCAGTTAGAAAACACTATGATACATGTAGGAGCAGGTTAGTGAAATTTCCAAGTGTTGCTTAAGTCTCAAAACTGGTTCAAGTATAGGTATAGTTTGCTTCCTGAACTCCATGCATTTCCTCTCAGTGCTCTGCAGAAGGAATCTGATTTTTGCTTCAATGTTCATTATCAACTGCAGAATATGTTCTCAAAGATATCCTGTACCCCCTGCCCTATTAGTGGAGATTATGAGGAAAGGAACACTAGGACATATGGTGCCTAATATGATACACTGTAATATGGTGCAGGGCTGTGTCTGCTGTGAACTCAGTCTATAATTAGCACATCCTTTTAAAAATATTTCCAGGTGTTTTTTTTTTAATTTTTTAATGTTTATTTTTGAGAGTGAGAGCAAGATGGAGCATGAGTGTGGGAGGGGCAGAGAGAGGGAGACACACCATCTGAAACAGGCTCCAGGCTCTGAGCTGTCAGCAGAGTGAACCGTGAGATCATGACCTGAGCCGAAGTCAGATGCTTAACTGACTGAGCCACCCAGGTTCATCAAAATACATATACATATATATACATATATATATTTCCAGTTTTACTGAGATATAATTGACATACAGCCACATCTTTTTTCCTCTTCATTCTGTGTTTTTAGTAACTTCTGAGTCAGAACTCTCACACATACCTTAAATACATTTTTCTTATAAGAATTCCCTAAGTTCATACATTCATATTCCTTCCAGAATGTTCTCTCTTGTCTGCTAATATAGATATAGTCCAGCCAGAAAAGCCCTTAAATGCAAAGTTTTATATTATATCAAGTTGTCCCTTTGGCAATATAGCATTATGGCTAAAAACATAGATTCTGGAGTTAGCTTACCTAGGTCTAAATCCTGGATCTGTCATTTACTGGCTGGTGACGTTGGTGAACTCACTCTCCCTCTCAGTTCTCATGTTCCTTATCTATAAAATGGTTGTCATGAGCATTAAATTTTATAGATATATCTACACACACACACACACACACACACACACACACAAACACATCTTAAGACAGCTTCCAGGGCATGGTAAGCACTATGTGAATATTAGCTAGTATTGCTTGTCTATTAGTGTTATTAGCTTAAAAACCTACATGTAAAATGAATACCTCAGATGAGCAATATTGGCATGCCCAAGTTTCTTTTGTGTGATGAATTAGAAGACAGCATAGCATGAATCAGTAAATAGCTGTGGAGCCTTTTAACCATTATTTTTGACCTTTATCTAAGTGCTGCAAGTAGCTGCAAAAATGACTAATGAGTTACTCCTATTTTTCCTTTCAGACAACTAGAGGTTAGCAAAGGTGCAGTGACACAGACAGGTGGAGGGTAGAGGTGGCTGGTAGGCAACAAGAATATACTGGGGGGTTGGCCTCCTTCTCACATAAACCATGGGTGGAATTACTTGCCCTTCCATCACTGAAACTTGACATTGAAGCTTTTCTATTTCCTTCCTCACACCAGACCAGAAGCCTTGATGGCAGAAGAGTCCAAACCCAAGCCAGCATGGAGCCAGAGCTACTTCTTTCCTGAGGAGCAGTTCTCTTTCATGGGCTGGAGCTCTGAGAAGCAGCACCTCAGTCCCATGGGCTTCAGTGAATCCAAGACAACAGGGTCTGCCATTCCACTTGTCAAGCCCCTGGGTGCCACTGGTCCCATTTTTTCCCCATTTCATTCTGCAACCATGGAGGAGACTGGGGCCACTGGGGATATGCCAGAAGTGGAGAGATCCTATCCCTTCCCAGGCCAAAGGCCTGCCTCACAGGCAGTCTCACAAGAGCTCATGAGATATGTGGTAGGCCGTGACAAGTCCCTGGCACGGGTCTTAACCCCAGCTTCCAACATGGTGACCACTGCTGAGGTCATGGGTGACCTCTTTGCTGTGGGAGATCTGCAGTGGAGGGGCCATTTCAAGCAGGAGTGGCACCATCAGGAAAGAAGAAATGATGAGAGTGTCCAGGAAAGCCACAGGGTGCTTTTGTAAGCAAGCCGACTAGATAGAGCAGAAGCAGGTGGGGATCTGGGATCGGTAGGAGGGAGGTCAGCAGTCTTGGAGGATGAAGAGGTAAGGTCTCAGCCATATCCCTATCACCGCCTCCTTCCCTGGGGATTCATACACTGGAGCCATAAACCCATGGGCATCATGGAAGATCAGAAGCCCAGAATTTTGGGGACCTGCCAGTTTTTCTGGATCTTAGTGGGGTGATGAACAAACCAAATCATCTCTAAAGAAGTCCCCCTACCTATGAGAGTCAGGGGCATAGAAATAGCCTCCCAAGTTCTCAAAGTTGGCCTTGACTTGGCTTCTAGGTAATCTTCATGTGGCCTGTTTACGTTTCAACAGTGCTTCCTGGTCCATTATTTCCTTATTTCATAGCTCCATTGGTGAAGCAGGGTCCCATTTTTACAAATGGGGAAATCAAGAAGCAGAAAGGTCAAGAGCCTCTCAGAAGAAGTGCTCAAATGGTCATTCTTTGTTTCCACAGACAAGAGTTTCAGCACTTCTCACCTCCTCCAGGGGCCCCAGGGATCCCCACCTCTTACTCAGCTTATTACAATATTTCGGTGGCCAAGGCAGAGCTGTTGAACAAGTTGAAAGACCAACCTGAGATGGCAGAGACTGGCCTGGGAGAGGAAGAAGTTGACCATGAACTGGCTCAAAAAAAGGTGACATTTTTTTATATGACTTAGATTTTCAGCATTTAGTTTAAGTATCTGGAAGTTGACCTGTCCTCTACGCTTCTCCAGAACAACTTGGTATATTCCCATATTTTCAGTATGGAAATCAAATAGCTTCTCTGTGTTTCTCAGAAATGTTTCTCCAGTCTCCTTTTGACCCAGCAAATACTAGTAATAATAGTAGTAGAAATCATAATCATCATCACTGTGTCTCTTGAATCTTTAAAATAATTTGACAATGATCCCCTTTTTGCTGGTTGAGAGGATTAGGTTGCCCAGGGTTACAGACTAAGTGGTAGATCTAGGACTTGAAGTCAAGACTGTCTCACTTTCTACTTTATCATGACATTTCCCTCTGAAATAAGCCAGCCTTGCAAGTAACTCACCTCCCGTGGCACATCAGAGTTTTTGCCAATGAGTTCTAACCAATCCAGCCACTGACTGTATTCTCTGTAACTTTCTGGGAGATGGAATAGATTGACTAAGCAAGAGAAGGAGAAATTATGGCCTGGTAAACTTTAGTATTTATTTGCAAGAATAATCAATAATTTCTTAAAAGCACTAGAATGATCAACAGAAATTATGTTGTTCTGAAGCCTACCCATTCTTTCTCTAAGCATCACTAGGCTGGTTTTCTTTTTTTCTTTTTTTTTCAACATATGAAGTTTATTGTCAGATTGGTTTCCATACAACACCCAGTGCTCATTCCAAAAGGTGCCCTCCTCAATACCCATCACCCACCCTCCGCTCCCTCCCACCCCCCATCAACCCTCAGTTTGTTCTCAGTTTTTAAGAGTCTCTTATGCTTTGGCTCTCTTCCACTCTAACCTCTTTTTTTTTCCTTCCCCTCCCCCATGGGTTTCTGTTAAGTTTCTCAGGATCCACATAAGAGTGAAACCATATGGTATCTGTCTTTCTCTGTATGGCTTATTTCACATGGATGGAACTGGAGAGTGTTATGCTAGGCTGGTTTTCTAATCAAATTCCTGGAATCACTTTGCCCTCCCTGTACTTACCCATTTTATTTCATAAGCAAATAGGATTTCCATGGCAACCCCAAAGGCCCAATTTGACACTTTGTGGACAACTGAACTCAACATAAATTGCTCCTCTGCCCATAATTTTCATTCAGGATGTGACCTGTAGGAAAACTGAAGGCCATTTGCAAGAGACCCCCCCACCACTTTCAAATCTGAAGCAAAATGTCAGGGAAGTAATTGAAATCATGGTGGTATCAAAGTTTTATTGATCCAGATGCCTACCTCCTTGGATTCCGTGTTCCCTGAGCATGGCAAGGCTGCTCCCGACTTACTCAGGACCTTTCTTTAGGAGCAAACCTAATAAGAGTCTGACCAGGAAAAGAGAAAAATGACCAGAAATGGCAAAGGACAGAACAGCAGATAATGATTTGAAGTGATTATCGGGGGGGGGGGAGGGCGGGGGGGGCAAGGGGGAGGGGCGGCTAGGACAGTTTTTGTCTCTGAGGACAGGTGAAGAAGGTCACCTATTTGCAATATCCTAGAAAAGCAACTCAACTCAAACAGGGTCTGTGATGACTCCTCAGATCTATCCAGTACACTTTCTCCAGGGTTGAAGTTCAGGTTGCAAAGCCCAGGTGCCAAGAAACAAAGGGTTCTCTTTTCTTGCATCCTTCTAGATCTTGGGAACTGAAGAGCTGGGGTGGGTAGGTGATTTTCCAAGTTGACTGTTTGGCCCCCACCCCTCTCTTGACCCTGGCACTGACTTTTGTTTGGGAGAGCAGAGGGTAGGTATATAACTGGGAGTCTTTGGTATCTAATTGTGTTGCCTTGTTTCTATCATTGATTCCTAATTCATAGTAGGTTTTAGAATTTCCCCTAAATGTAAACCTATGACACTTCAGATTTAAGATCATGGTGATCTCCTGACCTTTGGCCAGTTTTGAAATATGATAATAGGCCCTGGACCCAGATCAGGCTCTCTTGGTCTTGGTCACCTTGGACATGTCTAAATAGCTTACTAGAAAGGAGCACATGCTAGAAAACTACAAACCTATGTATGGTCCCAGAGTACCTGGGAAGGAATAATAATAAAACAAGCACTGAAGCAGACTTCAGTATATACATACAAGATACAGAATACTATTGTAAGCATGTAACCTGTATTAGAACAATACTATGAGGTAGGTGCTATTGTTGTCCTATTTTTTAGATGGGGAAATTGAGGGGCACCTGGGTGACTCAGTCTGTTGAGCCTGACTCCAACTTAGGTAATGATCTTGTGGTTTGTGAGTTTGAGCCCCGTGTCGGGCTCTATGCTGACAGCTCAGATCTTGGAGCCTGTTTCAGATTCTGTGTCTCCCTCTCTCTCTGCCATTCCCCTGCTCATGCTCTCTCTCTCTCTCCCTCTGTCACTCTCTTTCTCACTCCCTCTCTCTCTCTGTCTCTAAAAAATGAATAAACATTAAAAAAATTAGATGGGGAAATTGAGTCACAGAAAGGTTGAGTAATTTGCTCAAGGTCACACCAGTGCTTTGTGGCAGAACTAGGGTTCAAGCCCAAGTAGTTCTTGCACTAGAGTTCATGCTCTTAACCATGATGCGATGCTTGATCTGCTGGGGCAGGTCAATTCTCGTTAGGACTTTGCAGTAGACAATCATCTATTATCTCAGAGTGCCTGGTAATAATAATAATAACAATAGCAGCAGCAGCAGCATCCACTCTACCACACTATCTTCCTGGGAGTGGAGTTCCAGAACTGGTTATACCTACAGGGAAGACAAATCAGAAGACACAGGCAGTGCTTCCCTTAAGAAACTTACCATCAAGTGGGATCAGACGTACCCACATGAAACAGGGAATGAACCACTTCAAATTACACTATAGGTCCTATTTCTGAAAGGCAGGAGAGTTCAGAAAAGAAAGACATTATTAAGGGAAGCAGAAACTTCCAGCAGGGAGGGTGGGAGCAAAGCTGGGCTCTGAAGAAAGAATGGGAATAGCCAAAGTGAAGGAAGAGTTTGAGAGCAGGTAGAACTGCATGATGCAAATCAGGAACACCAGGGTGAGTGTGGTGAACACAGAGGAGAACGAGAAGCTAATCACGAAAGTTTTGGAGCCCTGAGATTGGAATGGTAGGGCAGGGCCAGACTGAATAATAATAATAGCAGCCAGCCTTGATTAAACAGTCCATGTTAAGCCCTTTGCATGCATCATGTCGTTCAGTCCTTATTACAGTTCAGCGAAGTGGGTACTACAATTTGTACCCACTCTGCAGATAAAGAAAGTAAAACACTGTGAGACATTCACACATGTCACACAGCCAGGAAGTTGGCAGAGCTAGTAGTCCAAGCTAGTCATTGGAACTTCAGAACTCACAGTCTTAACCAAAAGGCCTCAGAGGCCAAATGGAGGGAGGGAAGGAAGATCCGGCACAGTGTCATACACACCAGAGGTACTTCAGTGGATTGAAGGGGAATGAATGAAGCCATAGGCAAATATTTGACAATACTTTTCCAAACTATGCTCTCACAAGCATTCCAGTTCCTGTTTATTAGTCTCTTTTCCAAAGAAGACATCCACGTGGCTAACAGACACATGAAAAGATGCTCAACATCACTCATCATCAGGGAAATATAAATCAAAACTCCAATGAGATACCACCTCACACCTGTCAGAACGGCTAACATTAACAACTCAGGCAACAACAGGTGTTGGTGAGGATGCAGAGAAAGAGGATCCTTTTCACACTGTTGGTAGGAATGCAAACTGGTGCAGCCATTCTGAAAAACAATGTGGAGGTTCCTCAAAAAGTTAAAAATAGAACTACCCTATGACCCAGCAATTGCACTACTAGGTATTGATCCAAAGAATACAAAAATGCTGATTCAAAGGGGCACACGCACCCCCAATGTTTATAACAGTGCTATCAACAATAGTCAAATTATGGAGAGAACCCAAACAAATGTCCATTGACTGGATAATGGATGAAGAAGATGTGGTGTGTGTGTGTGTATGTGTGTGTGTGTGTGTGTGTGTGTGTACAGTGTTCAAAAAGGATGAAATCTTGCCATTTGCAACAATGTGGATGGAACTATAGTGTATTATTTTAAGTGAAATAAATCATAGAAAGATAAATATCATATGATTTCACTCATATGTGGAATTTAAGAAACACAACAGATGAACATAGGGGAAGGGAAGGAAAAACAAGATAAAAAGAAAGGGAGGCAAACCATAAGATACTCTTAACTACAGAGAACAAACTGAAGGTTGCTGGTGGGGATGTTGGGTAGGGGGATATATACATACATATATGCTGGTTCAAATTTATTTTGAAAATACAGATTTCAGTAAGTATAAATTAAACAAGACTAAGCTATTAAAAAATAGTCTCAGCAAGTGTTTATTAAGTTACATCTGGCAAATGAGAATTAGCCCATGGGTATCACTTATCTAATGCCAAGAAGTTTGGTGGTGACTGACTCCTGCAAGATATGAAGAGATGAGAGGGAGGGTGGCTATTCAAAAAACTTGAATTGCTCATGACTTGCTTGGGTTTCCTTTGTTTCTGGTAATGGGTAGAGCCTGCCATCTGTTCCATGGATCCCAAAACAGAGGTTACAAGCACAGATCAGTTTCTGTCAGTCCCCATTCTCATCCTTTGCCTTCTCCTGTTTATTTCTCCTAGATACAGCTTATTGAAAGCATTGGCAGAAAACTGTCGGTCCTGCGGGAAGCCCAGCGAGGACTGCTAGAGGACATCAGTGCCAATTCTGCCCTTGGGGAGGAGGTGGAGGCCAACCTGAAAGCTGTCTGTAAATCCAATGAGTTTGAAAAATACCGCTTGTTTATCGGGGACCTGGACAAAGTGGTCAACCTGTTGCTGTCACTCTCTGGACGACTAGCCCGGGTGGAGAATGCTCTCAACAGTATTGATTCAGAAGCTAACCAGGAGAAGGTAGAGTTGGGGTCTCTGGGGTATAGATGGAGGTAAATGCCATTGGCTTCTTCTCAGGGCCCCCTCTTTCAAGTTTGGCTTGTCTTGGAGACAGTAAAGGATAATGTTAAGAGTGGGGGCACTGGCTTTTAAGTGCCTTGCAATTCTGGCTCTACCAGTAATTAGCTATGTGACTATGGGCAGCTTACTTAACCGTACTCTACCTCAGTCTCTTAAAAAATGGGGTGAACACACTACCTAACTCATGGGATTGTGAGAATTAAATTAGTCCACAGTAATTACTTAAAACAGGTCCTGGAATAGGGTAAACACTGAATCAGTTCTAGTTGCCAGTAGTAGTAGTAATAGCAGTAGTAGTGGTGGTGGTGGTATTGATAGTGATAGTGGTAGTAATAGTAGTAATGGCGGTGGTGGTATTGATGGCAATAGTGGTAATAATAGTATTAGTGGTATTTGTACCGATGGTGGTAGTAATAGTAGTAGTAGCAATAGTGGTGTGGGTATTGGCAGTGATGGTGGTAATAAAGCAGTAGTGGTGGTGGTAGTGGCATTGGTGGTGATAGCAGTAATAGTAGTAGTAGTGGTATTGGTACTGATGGTGGTAGTAATAGTAGTAGAATAGTGGTGGGGGTATTGGTGGTCATAATGGTGGTAGTAGTAGTACTAGTACTAGTACTAGCAGTGGTAGTAGCAGCAGCAGCAATTTTACCTCACTTTCTCTCTGAGTTAGAGGAAGAGATCTCACCAAGTAGTTGAAATTGGGAGTCTGTCATTTTCATGGGTTGGGCCACACTGTGTACATTCCAGAACCAAACCTACATCACCTTTCCATATACAAGTGGTTTGGGATACAAATTTGAATCCACAATAAGAAGCACTCAGGCATGTGCATACACACACAGACACATACACTCACACATGTACACCCACACAGAGACACATACCATCTTGAAAGCACTGTCATAGTGATACCTATTCTCCAGGTGGAAGGGGTCTGAGCTGGCTTTGTCAGAGCCTTCCCCCACCCTAACCCCAGGGGTGGTCCATGGATTAAAGACAGCTTAGAGATGGAAAGAGGTGAATGCATGTAGCCCCGCCCAGTATCACTGTTGTGTTTATCCTCCCCCTGCCATAGCACAGAAGAGCTTTTGCCTGAAGGTGGACTTCAGGGCAGGAAATATAGGACTGATCAGTTAACAGAGTGGAGAGCTGCTGTGCTCCACTGTGGAGCAGTGAGTTAGGGAGATGACTAGTAACTGGGATGGCTCTTAATTGGTCTATCTGATTCCCCAGTTGGTGCTGATAGAGAAGAAGCAGCAGCTGACAGGGCAGTTGGCAGATGCCAAGGAGCTGAAGGAGCATGTGGACCGCCGGGAGAAGTTGGTGTTTGGCATGGTCTCCCGCTACCTGCCTCAGGACCAGCTCCAAGATTACCAGCACTTTGTGAAGATGAAATCTGCTCTCATCATCGAACAGCGAGAACTGGAAGAGAAAATTAAGCTTGGGGAAGAACAGCTCAAATGTCTCAGGGAGAGCCTACTCCTGGGGCCCAGCAATTTCTAATTCCACCAGCAGACTGTCACACCATCCCTGCCCAGCCACAACGGGAAGTGCTTTCAGTCTTCGTTAGCAGTTTGTTAGAAAGTAGATAGCAGTTTAGTTAGCAGTTTGTTCCATATCCTCTACCTTGGACATCTCTCACTGCCCCTTACCTAGCATTGCTCCCAACCAGCTAGGAGTTCCTGATGAGGCCCCCAAGCCTCTACTCTAGGGAATAGATACAAGAGCTAGGAGCTGCCTGCAGCAAAGGGTGATCATACAACCACACTCCCCTTCCCACGGTTTGCACAGGCAAGTGCTCACCACACACAGAACCAACAAAGTGCCTTCATTCTTCTTGGTCCAAGGACTGCAAAGACACCATGCACTCACCACCCACCCATGCCCCAATCAGCCTCTCAAGGCTCAGAGAGAAGCTGCCTGTGCAGCTCCATTCTGCCCAAGGCTCAAAGCCCAGCCATTTCCCACAGAGATCTGGCTGTCTTGAGAGCATCACTTCCCACCAGTTTAAGGGCCTCACCTAAGCTTTACAGTGGGAAGCACAGAAAGAGAAATTACACTAAACAGAATGTGAGCAAAGATCGGGAATCCCTAGGTGCCCTGCCGAAGCTAGGTTTAAACAAATGGGCTCCACCCCCACTGGCCCCAGCATCTGGTTGAGGGGGAAGAGGCCTACTCCAACTAGTGTGGCCCTCCTCCTGTCCTCATACTTCTGGCTTACCACTTCCTGTTCCATCTTGCCTTTTCATTGCCAGTGGTCACCGGTGCCTACCCTAAGGGCTTCACACTATGGACCATTAAGCTCTACCAAAGCTGACTTCTGGATACCCATTTCATTATTGGGGTGAGGGGTTCTTTGTTGTATTTTAAATGGCCTTTTGATTTTATTTATTTTTATTTTTTGATTTATTTTTTTCCTTTTGTAACTAATAAGGTGAAAAGAGGGGAGGTGGAAAGGGAAAAGGAATCCTAGAAGGAAAGCATGTTCTGCAGATCAGCCTGGATTCACCATGGCTAGATGAGGGAATGCCAAGGCCTTGAATTCTTCCCACCAAACACTACAAGTGTCTAAGAAAGGAGTTCTCACCTTGAACTTAATTTACTATGGCCTGGCCCTATACTAAAGTCAGCAATGACCATAAGCTTAGCATTCCCCAATGGATTTCAGTTTTTTACTTATTTTTTCTCAAAACCAAAGATATCCAAAACTGACAAAAGTTCATCACCCATTTTTCTACTATCTCCCATCTAAGGAAATGGGTATAAGTGAACTCAGGAGGAGATCCCTCTATCTCACAATTGCTTTCTCAGCCTGTGGCCTGACTCAGGGAACTGAAAGTCATGGTAGCTGGAAGCTCCAGCCAGGGCCAGCCCCCCCAGAGCAAATTATGATCCAGCCAGGATCTTAGGCACACAAACAACTAATGCTGCTGTTGTTGCCAATTCCCTGACACCACTAGCCAGTTTCTGTCCTGGAAAATCCCTCAGGTGGGTGATGGCAGGAAGGGAATTGCGGCCAAACTCTGGCTTGTTATCCAGCTCAATTCCCCATTCCTTGCTCACTGGCACCCACGGTTCATATTGCACAGCTCTGCCCAACAAACCTGGGCATCTCTTCTAGTTACTGCTGAGTTCCTCAGGATCCTTGGAGGTTAACTGTAGCAGCAGGGATGCCTCATTCAACCAAAAGATTTTCCAAAGAACTTTGCTGCTGCTACAAATAGTGGTCTCTAGCTTCCGTTTCCTTTCATTGTATTTGAAAACAATGGAAGAATCTTGGCCAGCAGGGTGTCCTGAGGGGGGCCCTGGGTATGCTCTTAGTACACTGCTGCTCTCAGAACCACTGTTAAAATGTCAACCTGCCATTCTCCCCTCAACTGGGGAAGTCTACCCTATTCACAAAGGCCGATGGCTCCTAAAGGGCTAGGCTTACCCAAGCCACATTTGAGGAAGGTGGGGGAGTGCTATGAATAGAAGCTATGGTTACCATCTTTTTTTTTTTTTCTCAAGCAGACTCTAGGATAAACAATGAGTAAGTTGAGACATCCTATATTGGGGGGTGAGGCCAATGTAGTCCATCATTCTAAGATTTTCTGGGGCCAGAATAGCTTTTTGGGAACACAGGCCGAGGGAAGAGTGGTCACTTGCCTGGGCATGATGACTGTGGTCTGGGTTTCTCTAGTCAGTGTTACATTGCTTGTACATTAAATTTCTCACACAAAAAAGTACTATTGATTGTATTATTTTTGTTCCTTATCCCACCTGAAATTAAAGTTGAAACCAGAACACAAGGATGCTCACTTTCACACAGAAGGGTGGTTTCTAAAACAATATAATAACCACCAACCTATACTGAGCAGTGAAGCTTGGCAGACAGGTGAAGTACCAAAAGGGAACTAATGCCCTGCGCTGCTGAGGCAGCAGTGCCATCATGCCTCATAGTGCTTCAGAGCTGCGATGTGGTGTTTCTCCCATGTTCTCATTTCCTGGGCTCAGCCCTCTTGCAAGGCCTGCCAGGGGTAAGCAGTTTGGAAGGCAGGCCAAGGGATTTCCCCAAAGACAATTACTGGTCTTAATTTTTGCCCTCTCTCTTCAGATACTCATATAGGCCCCAGTGGGTAATAGGTTGATCTAGAGAGAGGAGTCAGTACAAGAGTTACTATCACTTGTCCCTTCTCACTCCCCCACCCCCACCTAGATAATTGAGTCTCGAGTCCCACCAGTTGCAGACCCAGCCAGGGTATAGTGGTAAATGCTCAAGGGGAACCTGAGAGAAAGAGGCAGACACACTAAAAGCTCTAGAAAGGGAGAGACTGGAAGCAGAGGAACTGAGAGGGTGAAAGACGAAAAGTTTTTTTCAAGGCCAGAGTCAGGTTCTGTTTTCCATTTAACCTCAAGTGTCAAAAAGCTGCCCTGGGCACTAGAGCCATAACCTTTAACCCCCCATCTCCCTGAAGGTGCTGCTCTGTCAGTAGTACCAAGTCCCAGATGGAGGAAGCTGGGCACATATATGGCCACTCCCTTCTGTCTGGAGCTTGGTGACTCCCACTGTCTTTGCCAAAGGAGTTGTCTATGCCAATAGTATTTCTGTAACAGCCTATTGTATTCTTGGAAGATTAGTAGATCTTTAGAGGGGGGTGGGGCAGGGGACAGTTTCTATAAAGAACCAGTGTTTGTTGTACAACTGTTGGGGGTCATCTATGCCATGTTATTATTTTTCTGAATCTTATAGTTTCTGCAATTGTGTCCTCCACCATTCCCTTCTTGGCTGACATTGATATGTCTGCCAGATGGTCATCAAGGGTTATACTTCAATAAAAGGTGCTAAGGACAAAAAAAAGAAATTATCTCACGTGTTTTGACTGAAGTGATGGAAATTCTCTAATATTCTGCTGAAAAATATTGGAAAACAATTTGGTCACATATCAATAATCCTTCATATGTAACTGTATGACCAGAGTCTTGCCCACATCCCTAAACTCTTACCCTGGCCCATTGGGGATAGCATTGATGCTATACCATTCATTATCCCCAGTAAAATAATTCAGAATTCAGGAAGACTCAACAATAAGTGTAATCTCAAGTATAGACCTCAGTAGTATACAGAGTGCACTTCTGGAGTCTAGCCTAATCAGAGAGCTGAGACACCTTCTACACCTCCTCCAATCTTGAGTTCTACTATCTTCTACCTAATAGTCCAGTCTTATACCTTCCTCTTAGCAACCTGGAAAACAAGGTTCTCACTGACCAGCTCTCTCTAAATAACCTCATTTAGACCCAAATGCACTCCAGGAACCAACTCTGACACTTAAAAGCCTACATTTTCCCTCAGTCTACACATTGTTTAAATTCCAACTGATCTCCTAGGTATCCAGTGTGGTAGAGTGGAAAGAGCCCAGCTTTGGCATTAAAGTGAAATGTGTTCAAATCCTGGTTTTGCCACTTATTATATGAACCTGGGTTATTTTTTCAACTTTTGAGTTCATTTTTTATCTGTAAAATGGGAATAATAATATGTACCTTGCATAGTTGTGGCTTGAAAATAATAAATGAAAGTTACCAGCTGTCTACTGAGAAATGGTTAGAAAGGCAGAATCCCAGCTCCACCCCATGCCCACTAATAGTCTGCATTTTAACTAGATTCCCAGAGGATTTATATGTATATTAAAGGCTGAGAACCACTAACCTATCATAAACTTAGTACATGGTAACAACCTAATATTCTAGTCCTGATTTATTCAATTCATTCTTTTCTACTCCCAGGCATATTCTTGATCTTCTCATGCTGCTCCCAACTACCTGCCTAAATGAGTTTAGCAACGTTGAGGATACAAGTTTGATACATAAAACCACTTGTGTCTCTACACACTAGTAATCAACAATTTGGAAACAAAATTAAGAAAACAATTCCATTTAAAAAATTATAAAAAGAAAATAGGGACACGTAGGTGGCTCAGTCCATTGAGCATCCAAGTCTTGATTTTGTCTCAGGTCATGATCTCATGGTTCTGAGATGGAGCCTCATGCTGACAGCACAGAGCCTGCTTGGGATGCTCTCTTCCTCTCTGTCTGCCCCTCCCCCACTCATGCACTCAAGCACATGTGCACTCTTTCTCTCTCTCAGAATAAACTTTAATTATAAAAAATAAAACAATTCCACTTACAATAGCATCAATAAGAACAAAACAGGAATACATTTAATGAAACAAATGTAGGAATTTTATACTGAAAACTACAAAAATATTGTTGAAAAAAATTAAAATCAGAAAGTACTTAGACTAAAATCTATTTTAGATAACAATACTCCCCAAATCGATCTACACATTCAATCTGAAAGAATCTTAGCTGTCTTTTTTGCATAAATTGCATAAAGTCAAACCTAAAATTCATATGAAATTGCAAGGGACGCAGAATAGTCAAAACAATCTTTAAAAAGAACTTGGATGGGGCGCCTGGGTGGTGCAGTCGGTTAAGCGTCCGACTTCAGCCAGGTCACGATCTCACGGTCCGTGAGTTCGAGCCCCGCGTCGGGCTCTGGGCTGACAGCTCAGAGCCTGGAGCCTGTTTCGGATTCTGTGTCTCCCTCTCTCTCTGCCCCTCCCCCGTTCATGCTCTGTCTCTCTCTGTCCCAAAAATAAATAAACGTTGAAAAAAAAAATTTAAAAAAAAAAGAACTTGGAGAACTCATACTTCTCAATTTCAAAACTTATTACAAAGCTACAGTAATCAAGACAGTATGGTACACATACAAGGGTAGACATGTAAATAAATAGAATATCATTGACAGTACAGAAATAAGCCTTATATTTATGATCAGTTAATTTTTGATAATGGTTCCAAGACAATAAAAAATAGAGAAAGAATAGTTTTTCAACAAATGATGGGGGGACAACTGGATATCCACACAGAAAAAAATGAAATTAAACTCCTTCCTTACAACACACAAAAATCAACTAAAAAGGGATTATAAACCTAAATGTAAGAATTACATTTACATGGGGTACCTGGGTAACTCGGTTAGGCATCCGACTTTGACTAAGGTCATGATCTCAAAGTTCATGGGTTCAGCCCTATGTCAGGCTCTGTGCTGACAGCTTAGAGCCTAGAACCTGCTTCAGATTCTGTGTCTCCCTCTCTCTCTCTCTGCCTCTCCCCTGCTTGAGTTCCCTCTCTCAAAAATAAATAAATAAATAAATAAACAAATAAATAAAACATTTAAAGAATTACATTCACAAAAGAATTACAAAATGCTAAAAAGAAAACATGGGAGTAAATCATCTTGATACTGTGTTAGCCAATGATTACTTAGAACTCCAAAAGCACAAGTGGCAAAAGAAAATATAAATAAATTGGAGTACATTAAAAGTAAAAACTATGCTGCAAACAATATTATCAATAAAGTGAAAATATAATCCATATAATCAGAAAAATATTTACATATCATATATCTAATATTAGACTTTTATCTATAACATATAAAGAACTGTTACAACTCAATAATAAAAATAACCAAAAAATGGGCAAAGAATCAGAATAGACATTTCTACAAAGAATAATGTAAATGGGCAATAAGCATAGGCAAAGATGCTCAACACTGAGGAAATACAAATCAAAACAATGAGATACCACTTCACACACTATGATCAAAAAGACAATAACAAGTGTTGGTGAGGATGCAGAGAAATTGAAACAGTCCTACATTGCTGGTTGGAATGTAAAATGTTGTGGCCACATTGGAAAACAATTTGGCAGTTCCTTAAAATGTTAAATACAGAGTTTCCATGTGATTTAGCATTTTTCTCCTAGACATATACCCAACAGAACTGAAAACAAGTGTTCAACTCATGCAGTAATCTCTTTGACATCAGCGATAGCAACTTTTTTCTTTTCTCTTTTTTTTTTTTTTTTTTTTTGGTGATTTATTTATTTATTTATTTATTTTTTAAATATATGAAATTTATTGTCAAATTGGTTTCCATACAACACCCAGTGCTCATCCCAAAAGATGCCCTCTTCAATACCCATCACCCACCCTCCCCTCCCTCCCACCCCCCATCAGCCACAACTTTTTTCTAGATATGTCTCCTGAGCAAGGGAAACAAAAGCAAAATTAAACTATTGGGTCTACATAAAAATGAAAAGCTTCTTCACAGCAAAGGAAACAATCAACAAAACTAAAAGTTGGGGCACCTGGGTGGCTCTATCAGTTAAGCATCTGACTCTTGCTTTTTGCTCAGGTCATGATCTCACAGTTTGTGAGTTCAAGACCCATGTTGGGCTCTGAGCTGACAGCTCAGAGCCTGCTTGGGATTCTCTTTCTCCCTCTCTCTGTCTCTCCCTTGCTCACTTGCACACACACACACTCTCTGTCTCTCTCTCTCCCTCTCTCTCAAAAATACTATTTAAAAAAACCCTAAAAGGCAACCTACAGAATGGGAAAATATATTTCCAAGTGACATATGCACTAAAGGGCTAGTATCCAAAATGTATAAAGAATGTATAAAATTCAACATCCAGAAAAATTAATAATCCAATTAAAATGGGAAGAAGACATAAATAGATATTTTTCCAAAGAAGATATCCAGATGGCCAACAGACACATGAAAATATGCTCAACACCACTGATTATCAGGGAAATACAAATCAAACACAATGAAATATCACCTCACAACTGTAAGAATGGCTAAAATCAACAATACAAGAAACGAGGTGGTGGTGAGGATGTGGAGAAAGGGGAACCCAGTTGCACTGTTGGTGGGAATGCAAACTGATGCAGCCACTCTGGAAAACAGTATGGAGATTCCTCAAAAGTTAAAAATACAACTACCCTATGATCCAGCAATTGCACCACTAGGTATTTACCCAAATACAAAAACACTAATTAAAAGGGATACATGCATCCCTATGTTTATAGCAGCATTATTTACAATGCCAAGATATTGAAGTATCCCAAGTATCCATTGATTGAAGAATGGATAAAGAAGAAGTGATATATATATATATATATATATATATACACACTTTGATATATATGGTATACATATATAATGGATTATATACATATTATATATAATTATATATATATATATAAAATGGATTACTCAGCCATAAAAAAGAATGAAATCTTTCCATTTTCAATGATGAAGATAGAGCTAGAGTATATTATGCTAAGAGAAATAAGTCCATCAGAGAAAGAAAAATACAGTATGATTTTACTCATATGTGGAATTTAAGAAACAAAACAAGTGAGCCAAGGGAGGAAAAAAGCAGGAGGCAAACCAAAACCAGATTTTTTTATTTTAGAGAGGAAAAGAGAACACAAGTGGGGGAGAGGGGTAGAAGGAGAGAGAAAGAGAGAGAGAGAGAGAGAGAGAGAGAGAGAGAGAGAATCTTAAGCAGGCTCCATGCTCAGCACAGAGCCTGATGCAGAGCTCGATCCCACGACCCTGTGATCATGACCTGAGCTGAAATCAAGAGTCAGATGGTCAGTTGAGCCATCCTGTTACCCCTTAACAGATTCTTAACTATAGAGAACAAGCTGATGGTTATCAGAGAGGAAGTGGGTGGGGGTAGGAAAAATGAGGAGGATTAAGGAGTTCACTTGCTGTGATGAGTACTGGGTGTTGTATGGAACTGTTGAACCACTATACTGTACATCTGAAACTAATATAACATGTATGTTAACTAACTATAATTATAATAAAAACTTTTTTAAAAGATAAAGCTTAGCATGAAAAAAAACAGGCATTAAAAAAAACCCACATGTACACAAATGCTCAAAGTGTCCTGTATATTAACAGGAATTTAAATACAAATTTAAAAAAATACAGCTACCTTACAATCCAGCAACCACTGGATTGCGCTACCAAGCATTTACCCAAAGAATACAAGAACACTAATTCAAAGGGATACATGCACCCCTATGTTTATAGAAGCATTAGCTACAATAGCCAAATTATGGAAGCAGCCCAATGTCCATTGACTAATGAATGGATAAAGAAGATGAGGTATATGTATATACAATGTATATACAATCCATAAAAAAGAATGAAATCTTGCCATTTGAAATGACATGGAAGGAACTAGAGAGTATAATGCTAAGCAAAATAAATTCATCAGCGAAAGATAAATACCATGTGACTTCATTCATATGTGGAATTTAAGAAACAAAACAAATGAGCCAAGGGAAAAAAGAGAGAGAGACAAACCAAGAAACAGACTTAGAAAAAACTGATGGTTACCAGTGGGGAGATGAGTGGGAAGATGGGTGAAATAGGTGATGGGGATTAAGGATTGCACTTGTTGTGATGAGCACTGGGTGATGTATGGAAGGGTTGAATCACTATATTGTACACATGAAACTAATATAACACTGTATGTTAACTAACTGGAATTAACAATAAAAACTTTTTAAAAAAGATAAAGCTT